TTTTGTTGTTGATTTTCTAAATTAAGAAAATAGAAATTAATTTGATTAATTTACCGAAGGATTAAGGATAAAATTTCACTAAATACATAATTAATTAAAATTTATCGCTAATATTCATTGGTATATATGCATGAATTACTTATATCTAATTGATGGTTAACTTGACCACCATCAGACACTCAAACACGGTAATATATTAATAAATGTTGAAGATCGTGCTTGAATCTTGACGGTGATATCATTTCACCGACGGATTAACGACGAATTTCAATTAATTATGTATTTAGTTAAATGTCATCGTTAATCAGTCAGTAATTTAATCAAATTATTTTCTATTTTTCTAATTTGAAAAGTCACTAACGAAATGTATTTAAGTGAATAGTAAAAGACAATAAAAATCGATAAAAGGTCGAAAATACGCTTCATTTAATTGAATTTTTAATCCAAATATTTTTTGCAAACTACAATCACCATCTTATAATTTCAAATTTATATATACAAAAAATGTTATTTCCAACGAATCAGAGGGACCAAATTTGTAGTTTATTTTGAAAATAACAAGTCAATTAAATAAACTTACACCTAGTTTTATCCTTTTCTAAATAATGAATGGTTCATATTACTTTTTCTTTTATTAACCTAGATGTCCAACATACTATGCGGACCGATTAATCTCAGGATGATCATCTGTTTTGCGGGCAGCCCAGATTCACCATATATGAACTTTCGTGACCACAAGGGATTTTTATTTTTCATTGGATTTGAACATGAGACCTCCAACCACTTTTGGCCTTTGAAGTCAAGCTCAAACCAATCAGACGTCACCTTTATAGTTGTAATTTGCATTACTTAGATCATAGATGTGTAGTTTTACCAAATATATATTGTATATGCCTTTATAAAAACTGTTTTTTTTTACTAGCCGTCTAAATCAAACCTATTTTAATTGTTTTTCTTGAAAAAAATAACACATCTTACTATAGATGTTAATAATTTGGCTTAACTTAATAACAAGTTGGTATATTGTTTAACATTTTTTCGTACTTATCTTACTGTTCTGGCCTGTAGATGTTGTCTCTCAAATTGGTCTGTCGAGGACGCATACATTCCTACTAGGGTTGTTGGAGGTGAAAAATCAGATGAATAACATCAATAGAGGTGTTGAAAGATAATTATATAAATAATGGCTAGCGGTGAAAAATGGATCTTGAACAGTGACGAGCCGTCTATTGAAATGGATGATTGATAATAACGGAAATCTGAGTCGATTTTGAAGTTTGGCACCCAACTTCAGCCAAATAACAAGTTTGGAAATTGATAAAGACGGGTCGTTAGAGAAAAACTTAACAGTTGAATTGATATATGTCTTGATAAATTAAAGGATCAAGCACTTGAAAGATTGAGACTGAGACGCCCCTTTGGATCATCGAAGTGGTGTTATAACTGAATATATGCTTGAAATGTTAGAATTTTTAATTTTAGAAGGACCACTTATACTTAACAACAATGAAACAAAGACAGAGTTTGAAAAAAAAAAATACCAAATGCATCTTTAAATGGATAGGCATCAGTCGATTAATCAAATGTTCACATCTACACCTTTAATCTATACATAATCCAAACCTTCAACTTGTTTGTTGATAAACGATAAACGTTAGCCTCAGGGGCCGTTTACTAAACACTTACCTTGGTAAACGCTTATCGGTTCAATTACCTTACGGGATGAACATAACAAGAACCGAGAATTTTACCTGGTAAGAGGGAAGACAATGATCAAGTGTCTTACCCGGCAAACGCTTACTGGGTTATAAACGTCTACCATTAATTCATTTTTGATGGCTGAGAATGTTACCCATAAAGTAAGTAAGAGTTGTGACTTGTCGATAATCGTTTGGTAAACGGTCCCTTAGTCTACCAAAAATTCAACCATAAATTAATGTTTCGGTTTAAATCATTTATGATATAGATGGAGACATTTGTGGAGTGCCCACAATATATGAAATGTATAAATAAAATGACATGACGATGAATTCTTTTAAATCTGTCAAAAAATCAATCATTAATGTACATAATGCTATTGCTAAGTATGATACTGATTTTCTCCATTCAACATTAAATTTTAAATTGACTCGTTCAACTACTTTTTTTGTTGACTCGTTAAACTATTATTTTATTTTTTAAAATATTCATCTATAATCACTGGGCGATGATTTTTTTTCCTGTAACTGTGGATATTCGGGTCAAATCACGCATCTCGACTAATCCTTTAGGACCCTTATCATAGCAATCTTAAAATCCTCGGTAGTTCTGAGGAGACTTGAACTGAAGATTACCATTAATCAGTTATTCGATAACAATATATGGGTTTTTTAAGAAAGAAAAACGGCAGAAGATAGAAGAAAGAATACTAAATTACAAAATCCGTATCTAAGACAAGATCCAACTTTCATGGCTCGATTTCTTGACAAAATAGCGATCTGATCAAACATTTAAAAAAGATATAAAAAATTGTTAGAAATTATTATAGAATCAAAGATATTCAAACGTTCAACTATCTTACCAAACAAATCACTTGTTTGACAGTTGATGAATGGTTTGATGTCGAATGATTAAGTGGTCAGAATAATTAAGAGACTCTCATGATATAATACAAAATATAATTGTTTGGTAATTGTTTACAATGAAATTAGAGTGTTCAATGGTTAAGAGAAATCCAAGATACAAAATCATTCAGGGAGTTTTAGAACCAACAAGAGTCAAACTTTTTTTTTTTACTAAACAAGATTCACCTATTAACGATTCAAAAACTGTCTCAATTATTAAGAGTTAAACAAACAAC